CAATTACAAGTACTTTAGGAACGGACGTCTACCTTTCCAATGACAGTAACAAGTCCCTTCCCAAGAAAAATATTTCATCCCTTGTTCGAACTCCAGTGAACGATAGTGGTCGCATTACCAAATGACAATCCACTACAAGTGTTAAAAATCATCTCACCCCCACTAGGATAGACTAGCCTCTAACACTTTATGACATCTCTCAATGGCAATCCAAATCCATCACAAAAACCATACAAATGAGGAAACCAAATATTCTCAATTCACCAACAATTCTAAATAAATAAAAAAATTCACAATTTCTCATTTTACAAGCATATCTCAAAAATATTTATTATTCTTATATTTTGATTTAGGATGTAAATAGAGACGTTAAATGCAAACGAATCTAATTGGACGATTGTTGATAGTTTAGAAATGTAGGGGTTTACAAGTTTATTTTGATTGCAATTGGGGTTTAATTTCATAATTTGTTTGTTTTTTTTATGAAATTGGATGTTGGGGTTTTGTTGTGTGTTTCTTTAATAACATAGAGTTTTGCTATTTTGAATTGTTTTAGTTGAATATGACTCTTTTTGTTTGCTTAAAATTCTAATGTGTAATGTTAATTGTTATGATATTAATCTTAGATCTTTTCGAAGAAATTGGCTCATTGGCCTATTATTTGAACTACGCTAGGGATAGAACAAGTGACATGGAACAACATACCTAAACAAACTGGCAAACTTGACTAGGCTCATGGTCTTATGTCTTTAATTTAACAACTTGAAAGGTATGCAGTAAATTTTGAATAACTTAAAGGCTTTGTTTTTATTATATCGTATGTTCTTTTTCCATTACATGTTCTTCTTTGCTAGCAATGTGGTTTCTTGTCAACTAATGTTATTAAAATAATAATGTTGGACATTGTTTTAACAACTTTACAGGTCGTATTCTGAGGGAAATGGGTGTTCTTGAACATTTGGAAGAATCAAGTGTACCAAGTAGCTCTCTAACATGCTATGTGTAGAATGAGTTGTGGGAAAAATTGTAATTACATAAAATAATTTTTGTGTTCATTTATTTATTTCATGTTTATTGTTATTGAATTGTATTAGAAAGATTGCTTTGTGACTAATGCGATTGGGATCTTGAAGCGGTTGATAAGACCACAAATTGCAATGGATTACATGGATGAATTGATAATAAGAGTTATTGGAAGAGTTGCAATTTCATTATTGGTCGATGCTTCAAATTATAAAATGTTCAAACCAAATGATTATTATTTATGTAGATTTAATTTTTTGGTTGGACTTGCATGTATAATGTGTCTATAACTTTCGTTATTATCATATAAATGAGATTTTAGCTTATATTATGTAGTGATTAAAATTTGATGTTGTTTTTAAGTTAAGGTTGAGTAATTTATTTTTGAGATTGGTTATGCAATGGTTTGTGTTGAGAGATTGAATGGTTTATGTTGGACAATGATGTAATTGATGTGATTGTAGACAGGTTGAGATTTTCATGGGTTATTATTTACAAAAAAATTACTAAAAAAATAGAAAGGATTATATTGATTTCAATTTCTTTAATTAAAACAAATGAGAAAAAAAACTATTTTAAATTGAAAGATTTTCTTAAATAGCAAAGTGTCTTTAGGCACGAGTTATTACTAGTAAATCTATATAACAAAGTAGTTTACAATTTAAATTTTAAAAATTAGACAAAATAACTTTTGTTATTTATGGTTGAAATCGCTTTAAATTTTACTTTAAAGTTTAATCTAATGACTAAAACATCCAAAATTTAATAGGAAAAAAAAGGCCGTCAAAGGTGTGTTTGAAATAATTTTTTAAAAAATATTTTTCAAACAAAAATTTCATAAATATTTTTTTTTAAAAAATAGTGTGCCGCCTCCACCACCACTATCGTCGTTGGCGCCGCCACCACCCCCCCCCCCCCCCCCACCACCACTACAGTCATGCCACCAATCATAACTATCACCACCACCACTATCATCCTCCACCTCACTTCCACTATAAAAAAAATTTTATTTTGTGATTTAATTTTGAATATAAATAAAAAATATATTTATTATTTTACATAGTAACTAATTTCTTTATAAAATAGATTAAATTAATGGGACCACATGCAAGCCTAATGAGTTGATCCCCACATAAAATGAGCAAACAAGATGAGCACACTTTCAATTAAATTAGGTAAGGACCGCGCGAATGCAGCCCCCACTATCACAAATTATGACTTAAGCTCTACCACTTGAGTAGACCTTAGGCTAACACCCCTCCCAAGTGCAATGGATGTCACCAACCTAAGCCATGGGCCTTCTTGATCACTCATTGACCCCATCCAGATAAGTATGTTATTTAATTGTACTCCATCTCTCTTCATAGTCCCCTTTGCCTTCCAACTATGACATCTGTTGTCGATGTGGGATTTAAAACACAGCCCTGAATGCACCCTAGTAGCCAAGTGGCCCCACCCACCATCAGTTTTTGCCTCTTTTTGTAAACAAGAGTTAGCAAGTTGTAATCCATGGGCATATTAGTTTATTCTCTAGTGGTTGTTCAATCCTTCCTAGTTTATTCTCAAGTGGGTTTTTATCCTTCTTACCTTGGGGGGAGGGGTGGTGGAGCCCATGGTTATTAAGAATATCATCCTTTTTTTGTTGATTGTGTATGGCTCCAACGATTCATGGAGCACAACTATTCCTTGATCATAAACATAGTTCAGATAATAGTCGTATAGTTAGATATAATTACATATCGCAGCAAATTTTGAGATAGCGACGGCTAAACAAAATTTTACAACCTCGATTCAAAATTCCACCGATTTAATCCTTGGTAAGGAATTGGTAAATCATTTGATTCTTTACACATTCCAAAATGAGGAACTAGTCAATCGAGTAGGCAAGAATAATTTGAGTCTTCATGATTCAATATTATCCGCGCACTTCGATTCAACTTGAAAGAGTCTTATCTATATAGCATATATCAAGTTATGGATGCGGATTCTGAAATATTATCACGGCGAGAGATGAACAAAAATCCATAACTCGGATTCTATATGTTTTTCATCCACTAATGAGGAATTTCCAGTATAGTTGCTCTACAAAGTGTTCTTGATGAACCATAAAGCTATCATGAGTTTTAGTTGATTTTATTCCAAGTATTACATCAAATCTTTCATCGTTAAGAGTGCAAAACAAAGTCAAGAATTGACCAAAATGAGTTTGTTTGAGTGATTAAGGAGTTGTCTACCTTTAGACATAACCTGAGTTTGAGTCTTACCAGCTATATAGCAATTCCCTTCCTTCCACTATACTCTCAATAGTTGATCAAATTTATCATCATACATAAAAAAAATTAAGGTCAAGAACTTACATACTCTATTTGCCAAAAAAAAGGAAAAGAACGAAAAAAGAACTTACATACTCAACTCAACAAACAAAGCTTTGTCTCAATTTTTATGGGATTGGCTATATAAATTTTGTTCTGCAATATTAAGAATTTCAAATTTACGACTGAAAATTTTATACAATTTGAAATTTCAAGATGAATTGATCATTACCATGAAAAAGAGTATATAATAATTGAAATGTAGGTACGAAACTAAGTTCGTTATGAAATATCCAAAATGATATTATTTCCATCAAAACCGAAGTGATTTAATTTGTAAATTCTTATGTTTTGAGGTATTTTCATGTGGTTTAATATATTTTAAAAACAAAAATTTGAACTTTTTAATTTAATTTTGCCAAAACTATCCGTTGAAACGAAATGTCGAAACGAAATTTCAGTCCCGGAGGGTTTCCCATTTCAAATGGCAGCCAAAATCTAATTAAGATATTAAAGCTATCCTATATCCAAATTGCTTGAATGAACTCAACTCAAGTACAACATAAAACTTCAATACAAATGTAAAACTATTGAACTCAGATTGCAGCAGGCCTAAAAAAGAAACCCATTCTCATGTGTCTAAAAGTAGTGCTTGAGATTAATTAAAAACCTAGAAAGCTTAAATGCAAACTATCACCAAATCAAGTTCTACCTAGCAATTGGAATGTTTAGAGAATTATTAGACTGAGAGGAGCTTAAAACTCATTATAATTGCCTATAATACTGAGTTCAACTCATCGCGAACACTCAACTAAAAAGGTTATTACCCAATTTGATTTCCACTATATCTCAGGGTATAGAACAAACAATTGCCTATAATAGTGAGTTTAACTCATCACGAACACTCAACTAAAAAGGTCATTATCCAATTTGATTTCCCCTACACCCCTGGGTATATAAACAAACTTGGACATTATAACACATAATTAGATGTTAATTATCAATATGAGTCAACATCTTCAGGTATAAATAGCAAAAAGCCTTTGGGTCTCAGGTATGCAATTTGGAGCTAGACTTGATATTCATATTCCCCTCTCTCACATAGACCGACTTATGCATCGGATTGGACATGCTGACTACACATCCAACCACATTCTAACTTTTCTAACCTCGTTCCTTGTTTCAGGACTCTTCGGTGTGACTCGATCTAGGTGTTTCTATTTCATCGATTGTGCAGGAATCATCTCGTCCAAATTACTATTATATTTGATTTTGTGAGTCCGTCGCATATCACATTAATCCATCTTTATCATGAAAAATTGATTAATCCATCTCTATCATGAAAAATTGATCAACATTAAATCACACTATACTTTCTTTTCCGGGCTATGGAGTTGGTCATATTGGCTATTTATACCTCAAGCTCAATTTCAAGCAATATATGTACATATCACCTGCATTTCAAGATAAGCAAACGATCTTGAGAAATACATATGAAGAAGCTGTCAAAAATATAAAATCCGAGTTATCCTTTTTCTGACAACAAGATTTTCCAGAAAACACGGACTTGAGCTTTCCTACATAGGAGTTTTTAACTAGCCAGTCTGTTTCTGGTACTATAGATGTTATACTTCACCTATGTTTTCAAAGAAACCTCGAGAAAAAATGGATGAAGAAGCTGTCAAATTCCAAATGTAATTTAAAACATTTTTCTGTCAACAAGATTTTCCAAATGAGAAATAGTCAGAACCTCTAATCCTAAGGACTCAAATATACAAAGGTCTGAAGCATTTGAACCCAACGGAAACTTCCTCTCATATCCACTATAATGTATTGTTACTTGTTTTGCTTGATCTGCCGTCCTGGATAGGCAAAAGAATTATAAGAAAACAAACGGGGAAGTTGATTAACAGAGCATGAAATGGGGTTGTTCAGATTGACAATATAAAAGTTTTGAAGACTTGGTAAGTTTTATTACCCTGGATGTGTACTGAATTTTGATCATAATTAGACGGATTCAAGGTTCGAACATGTCAATGATTCTTGAACTATATAAACAACATTACCATGCATAGATTTTCACAAGTTAGCAAGATTAATACTCTTGTTCCATAGCAATTGCCTAAATAATCGAAGCTACATTAAGAAGTCGGTAGCTAAAATTCTTGCATATGTCGCCCTATGGGATGTGGTTTCCTCTCTTGCATACGCCTCTGATCCCAGTCCTCTTCAGGACTTCTGTGTTGCTGTCAATGATTCTAAAGCTGCTGGTACATAATGTTCCTCTTCATTTCAAAACTTGGTAGAAATATTTGTATCAATCTAAATTTTCTTTTTCTCATCTACTAATGCTTGCAAATTTTACTGTTTATGTGCAGTGTTTGTGAATGGGAATTTCTGCCAGGACCCAAAGATGGCCACGGCTAATGATTTTTTCTTCCCCGGGCTCAACATACTTGGTAACACGTCTAATAAACTCGGGTTCATGGTCACGCCTGTAACAGTTGTTCAAATTGGTGGACTAAACACCCTTGGCATTTCAATGGCACGCCTTTGATTTTGCACCATATGGCCTCAACCCTCCCCACACACACCCTCGTGGTACCGAGATCCTCACTGTCATGACAGGCACCCTCTATGTGGGATTTGTTACTTCCAACCCAGACAATCGTCTCATAAGCAAGGTCCTATGCCAAGGAGATGTGTTTGTGTTCCCTATTGGTCTCATTCACTTCCAGCTAAATGTTGGAAACACACCTGCAGTGGTTATTGCCGCGCTGAGCAGTCAGAATCTAGGAGTAATCACTATTGCAAATGCAGTGTTCGGGTCAAAGCCACCTATCTCTGTTGATGTTCTCACCAAGGCCTTCCAGGTTGACAAAAATGTGGTTAGCTATCTTAAAGCTCAGTTCTGGACTGATAACAATGGCTACTATACCAAATCTCTCTCTCTCTCTCTCTCTCTCTGTGAGTGTGTTTTTCAAGACCATGGAATGCGTTTCAATGGTAATGCAAGACATATCACAAGCATTTTTCATTCCCAATCTCTGCAATGTTCAATCAAAAGCAACCAGAAAAGTGTAACTGGTTTAATAAAAAGTTGAGCAAATTCCCTTTAAACCTACTATTAGCTTCACACGCCATGACTATAACGCTATACTTCCCAAATTATATCCTATAAAATTCATCCCAAATAAGTTTAACACCTTCACAAGTATTACTCTATTTAACAAACACAAGCCCCCACTGGCACCTAAATGATTTGCCTCACAAAAAATAAACAAATTTTTATCTAAATTAGGCAAAGACCACACAAACGCAAGCCCCTACTACCACAAATTATAACGTATAAACTCTACCACTTGGATAGACCTTAGATAAACACCCCTCCCAAGTGCAATGGAAGTCATCAACCTTGGCCATAAGCCTTCTTGATCACCCATTGTCCTTGTACAGGTAAATACGTTTTCCCGTCATACTCCATCTTTCTTCAAGTCCCCTATGCCGTCCAACTATGACATCTTTTGTCGATGTGGGATTAAAAACACAGCCCTGAATGACCACCATCAGTTTTTGGCTCTTTTTGTGAACAACAGTTTGCAAGTTGTAATTCATGGGCACCTTAGTTTATTCTGAGGTGGTTGTTCAATCCTTCTTACCCTGGGAAGAGGGGGGGGGGAGCCCATGGTTATTAAGAATATCATCCTTTGTTTTTTTGATTGTGTGTGGTTCCGGAATTCCCGGGGCAAGACGATTACTTGATCATAGACATTGTTCAGGTAATTATCGTATAATAAGTTATCACTACAAATCTTGAGATAGTGAGGGATAAACAAAATTTTACGGTCTTAATTCAAAATTCCTTCAATGATTCCTTGATAAGGAATTGATAAAATATTTGATTCTTCACGTATTTCAAAATGAGGGACTAGTCAATCAAGTAAGCAGGAATAGTTTGAGTCTTTGTGATTCACAATTATCCGCTCACATTGATTCAACTCGACCGACTCTTAGCTGATTTAGCACTTTTTATTTGGATAACGTTCCCACATTCCACATAAACTATGAGTCTCACACAACACAATTCTCAGAAAATCAACTAGAACCATTTTGTAATACTACAATATAATTTGAATATCTCGTTATGTTAAATTGTAATGCTACCTTTAACCATATGGTTTTTTGAGCTGATTTCCGAAACCAGCATTGCCGAGGCATTCACATATTCATAGCAAGTTGGTGTTGTTCCGAATCGGTTGGGTGGTAAGACTTGTCCTAAAAAATTAATTTCATATCGGCACATTTTATTGACACTAATTAATGAACTCATCTGTCTATTCGGGGCTAGCCTTAAGCATTGGTCATTAAGGCTGCCGCTTGGGACCCCAAATAAATAGTAATATTTGGGACCTCCGAATTTTTTTTTAAAGATTCAATTAAAATAGTTTTAGCGTCTTCGATTTTAACTAGTCTCATAATTTTAGGTATAATCTATGAATCATAAAAAAATTGACACGACATTAATGAGTTTGAATTTAATCTTAGTAGATTTTGACGAAAAATTGATGAAATTATTTGATCCCTCAAATTAGTAGGTAGATATAATCCAAACGAAATGCGATACAAACTCGTGAAACTATACAGGATTATAAGTAGTTTTACTTCTTTTTTTTCTTACTTATGTTTATCTAAATGCTGAAAAAATGAGTTATCTCCTCACGCAGTACTTTTGATATTACAATCAAAGTCAATTGATTGATTAATTATTTATTATCTAAATTTTATAAATTATAATTTTTTCTTAACTTAAATTCCAGACTTTTTCTATCTAGATCTATTTTTTGCTCAGTTATTTTTTTAAATACACAAGAAACACATACAAAATAACTAAAAAACATATTGAGTTTGACCAGTTTACTATTTAAAATTTTTACTAGCATTCGTTTTTATTAAAAAATAATGATTTTCAATTGATAGTAGATTTAAAACTAAAGCTTGAATGCAAAACTAGTATTTTTACATCTCAAATACAAGATTTTTTTTAATGAACATATATTAATATTTTAATATTTATTTTATTAAATCTATATTATGATATTGTATAGCACTAGGGCCTCACCGGATATTTTTGCCTATTGATTCGGAGTTGGGCCGCTCGTGGGTCTGTTTTGTAGGAATAAGACACTAATGCCTTCACGAAAACCGTATTGTTTGCGTACAAGTTTTCTAGTGAAAGATGTTTGAATTTTCTCTACACAGTGTCCGACAAATCAAAGAGCTATCATGAATTTTGGTTGATTTCATACCAAATATTACAGCAAAATCTTCCACAATTCAAGACACAGAACAAAACTAAGAATTGAGCAAAGTGAATTTGTTTGAATGGTTTAGAAACTATCCGTGCCTAGATGCAACTGGGGTCGAGTCGCACGAGTTACACATCGCCTCATTTACCCTTATCCCTCGTGAATTTGTTAGATCGCATCAAACAAAATCAAGAATTTACATATAACCTTGTATGAAATTCTAAATATGAATCGATCATCACCATAATAAAAAATAAATAAATAAGGAGTTGGTCGTCGACGTGGAGATTTTTCTCATATCAAATAGTTGCAGAAATCCAATTTAAAAAATTTTAAAGATATCCAATCACCAAATTATGTGAATGAATTCGGCTCAACAAGTGCAACTGCAAGTTGTGAGAGATCTAAGATGATAAAATCATTCTCATGGGTCTAATAGTATTGACCTAGTAGTTGGAAAGCTTTGAAAAATTTTAACAAAGTCAAGGAAGCTTAAACTCGTTATAAGAACAACTCGAACAAGACTATTTAAAATAACTACTTAAAATATATTTAAATATTATATTATTTACTTTAGTTAACCATTTTTTTAAATTCACTTCAATCACGCTATCTAGTTTAGCTAATCACTTCAACTAATTTTAACTAACTTTCAATAATAATATTTAAAAAATAGCAATTTAACTATACATTGTATAAATTTAATGCTACAAGAGTAAATATCATGAAAGAATAGATCATCATATGTACTTAACAAATCAATGATATACCCCCTTTTTTGCTCTTCAAAATCACCTGTCACCGCCTCTTCCAACACCACCTTGCCACCACCTCTTCCTCACCGCCACGGCCACCGCCCACCCCCTTTTTTGGAAATCAAAATCGAACCCAAACATCACAACAAACGCACACAACACACATCATCTTTGGTTCTGTTTTTGTGGCTACTTGTAATTGATTGATTCTAAAAAAAAAAACGAAGAACCCAAAATCAGGTGAGCCACAATCGATTTTTTATCTTCCTGAAAATCCCAAATCAAGATCAATAGAAGATCCCAAATCACTTACAAAAAATAGAATCCACCTCCAAAATCGTCAATCGAACCCAAAGATTTCAATTTGTGATCAAATTTTTATCTTCTCAACCCAAAGATCCCAAGTTAAGACGATGGAGTTTTGTGAGAGAGAGAGAGAGAGCAGCATACCTGCGATGATGAAGACAATGAAACTTCTGTGGACTGATCGAAGACGATGCCTTTTGCGGACTGATCTGCTGTAATGAAGACAATGCCTTCTATGGACTAAGTTTGGTGCAAATCCAACGATTTGGGAACTTCTGTTGAGGAATAGCTAGACTTGGAGGTCCCACATCCAACGAGTCAATATTGGATTTATGGGTAATATCGAGTGAGATACATAACACGTTGGAGCCAAAATTTACGAACCGACTATCTAAAATAACTAACATACCTCCTTTACATCGCCCCTTAGAGTTGCTCTAATTAGGCCTAGAAAAGTGCTTTCAAACTCCTCGGTAACACTCGTCTAAAAAAGTCATTATCCAGTTTAATTCTCGTTGGTCCAGAATATTGGAAGGAGTGTATTGAGTTTACCTGAATACACTGATATATGACTTTGACACTAATGCTCTTACATTTAGACGCATAACCTCAAGATTGTCTGTCCGACTAAAACACTAAACATTAAACTCGTGCTTTATTTCATATGTGCATAGTTATATGTTAATCGAGTGTTATGAGTTGTACCTAGGAAACCTGGCTGAACCAATCTATGCGCTACTGATGTTGGATCTAACAAAGGCTCTATATGTTAAAAACACAATATCTGTGGCCAAGCCCAAGTCTCATTGAATATTAACAAATTAGAGAATAAAGTTGCATGGATTAATTTAACTTGATAAGTCATATATATTATAGGGTTAATAGTAAATTATAGTTTGAAATATCTCTCGAATTTTAATTTTCACCCTTAAAGATAAAAAATCTTAATTTACACTCTTAAAGATATGAATATGTATCAATGTGTACTTGGAGCTAACAGTCGTCAATTTACCGTCTAAAATTAAATAGATAAATTACTCCTAGATCCTTTTAGATTTGTCACTTAATTATTAGACCTCTTCACATTTAGAATATTATGCATGCACCCCCTGACATTTGTGCACCTACAACACACAACCCCCCATTATTAATATCTTTTAATGTAATTGTTCAAAAACAGGATGTCATCATATATAAACAACTATAATTTATGTACTACCGTTAATTTTGTGAGTCTGTTATACTTTAAAGTTCAAAATTAAACTTACCTTTTGATTGTCCAATACATTTCAGATATTATATAATGTTTAAGAGTATTGATATTATATAATATTCTTCATATCCAATAAATACATCACTTAAACAAAATTATTTGATTATCCAATTGGGGGAACACTTTTAGTCATATTTGAATTCTTACGGGGTGTAGTTGTAATATTTTAAATGTGAAAGGGTACAAGTGATTAAGTGACAAATATGAGAGAGTTTAAATATAATTTATCCATTTAGTTTTAGATGACAAACTGAACGACAGATAACTTCAGGTGCACATCAATACAAATTAATATCTTTTAAGGTACAAATTAAAATATTTGATTTTTAAAAGTGTAAATTCAGATTCAAAAATTTTTTTGAAATACAATTTGTGATTAACCCTATATTATATTGCTATACTTTAGTATCCATGCCAAACCTTTGATTTGCCATCACACTTGTAGCCGTTCAACGTTTATTACTTGGTGGCCAAGAACTTGAAGATGGCGAAATGACAGTCAGACTGCATGTGCTGTGGAGTTGGATCTAGCTAAGTTTCTTCTTACTTACCTGTTAAACAACAAAACAAAACAAAACAATACAGAATAAAATTGAAGGGATTATTTTAAGTTGAGAAGTCACATATAATATTAGAAAGAATGGTATCTAACAATGTTCTACTATTATTTTAGATGTGATTAACCTTAACCTTTCTTTAATACTTGTTCCTCCCTCTCCATGTGTCTGCTTCACAACCGGGCATGTGTGTCCGACTGCTCTTTTAAACTTTATATATCAACTCACCCACAGAACCACCCTCCAGACTCCACAGGCTTCAACAGTATCGGCCGATGTCATGCCGCGATGCTGATCATATGAGTTTAAATTTTTCATGATTTTCAACTTTTTCTTTTAATGTAGTATCGCCCTTATATTGTTTCATAATACTATGATTCATGTGTCTCGGATCGTTCTGAGTTGATATCAATATCAAAACCTTGACCCAAAGTGCCAC